ATGTAATTTATAATTCATACAGGTTGTCTTCATACATATGGTGTTGCTTTTGTGTGTCAGTGTTTCAGGTACTTTATTACGGTGACAGTGTGATTTGCATTCACGTTCAGTTACCCTGCTCATATTTCTCTTGTTTACACCAGAAGGGCCGAATTATGAAGATTGATCTCGCTGCCGAGGTTTGCTACATCGCAGTAGAGAAATAGGTAAGCGTGGCTTGGTCCAGATCTTGCTGTCCGATCACTGTTCGCCGGGCATTTTAAAAATGCGGATATAGTGCCACCAGTTCTTATTCTTAAATGCAATTCCATGTGTCCTCTCTCTTCATTCCAGTGACTGCTGGTTGGCCAAATTACTCCATCTGCCTGGAGAGCCACAAACTTTCTCTGGAAATATTCCTCACTATAATATTAGCTCAGCCACAGGGGAGGATTTTAGATATTTTCAGGTAGGTTTTTTTTTTAAATCGATATAAAGTAATGGTTACACTGAAATAAAATTCATTTTTTGATTGAAAGGAAATTGATTTCAAACACCGGATTTCGTAGGGGGACAATGATCCCTTTGCAAACTGGTCGTTCTCGGGAAAAGGCAGAAGAATGTCAAGCTTGGTTCAGTTTTACTCCTGTTTGGGCCCTTATGTGCCATTGCTTCGCGTGGGTTTCAGGTGCTGCTCTAACCTTTCTGTTTGGCCACCGGCTTCACGACACGATTATTTGCAAACGATCTCTTTCAAATCTCCACCCTATTGCGTTGTCCGGTGAAGGCCAATCGGGTTACTTCCCCCCACCCCGGTCTGAGAAGACAATCGGCTACCGATAATGGTAAATTAATTGCGAAAGCATAATCTCCCCTCCCACACCACCTTTGCTGGGGTCTGGGATAATAAATTCATCCGGCGTTCCCAATGGAAAGCGAACAGTTCTACTTTTATCTCGATTCTTCAGCACAAAGGGACTTTTGTAAATTGCAGGATGGCTAAGCAATCTCCATCCTTCTGACAGAGATCACTGGCAGACCCCTGGGGCAGTTAAAAAGGTACAATGCTGAGTATTGCCAATCACAGCTGAAATAATTAAACCAATTAAGTCAATACAAACAGAAACAAGATGGAAGAGAGGTCTGACCCTTCGGAGGGGGGGAGGTGTCTCGGCTTCTTAGAACAGATGTGTTTGCCCCAGAGACATATGTGTAGTGGTAAATTGCATGCAATATAGGGAATAGCATGATGAGTTTACAATAATACAACATGTAATGATGATCATCAAAGCTATAAAAACACAAGTGGGAAACGCAGTCAATGGGGAACCTAAAGATCGCCACCAAGGAGAGATGGGAGGTCATGTTAATAATAATAAAAAATCCAGACCTGCGGGCTCAAGGACTAAAGAAATCGCTGTGGTGTGTATGCGAGTAGGGGAGTATTAAACCCAAATTGGATACAAGGATTCGAGTGGTAGCAGACCCACCACACAACTCTTCCTGATCATCGGGACAATGTTAGTGCCTTTCCCTTTGAAATGATGTCTCTAAGGGAACACCGGTTAGCCCTTTCTCCTGCTTTCCTGACATCCGTGCAATGAAAGTTGCTAAGTTTAAACACAGTCTGCTTGTCAGTTAAGCACAACTCTAGCTTGGCAAAAACCAAAGCTAGGCTCTTCTCAGAGCTTTGTTTTAGCTTCGGTGTGGGTGTGGGTGTGTGGTAGTGGTGGAGAGTATTTTCTACCAAAATAACCTCCCCCCATATTTTCCTAATGAGATGATTATAAATACCAGGAGTGTATTTAAAATGAATGAATCTGATCTAATAGAATAGCATTGTACCAAGAAATTAGAAGGACTGTTTGTATGAGCATTAGTGGTAAATTTACTTTTTTGGAAAATTATTTTATAATAAAGTGTCAAATAAGCGGGCCAGATGAGCTGCGAATGGATTGGAGAAAACTCCCAACTTTGGGCTGGTGAGCTTGGGCCCCGATTTCTGCTCTGAGACTGAGGCATTGTAATTATTTGATCTGCAGATGTAACTGGAATTTATTGTAACAACAAATATAGTGATGTCAAACCCCAACCTTGGATTAAAGCAGGCAGCCAAAGGGGAAGCGTATTAATTTCAAACAGCATCACAGGCCAATGCCTATTAGGACGAGCGATTCTTCAGGCCCCCCCATCAGAATTAATCATTGGGAGTTAATTTGAAGCTCAGACAAGTTGCTGTTAATTTAGTGCAGGGAGGACGGGATGGGATAAAAAGCTGAGGTGCTGGCCAAGCCTCCTGGGTCTCATTAATCAGCGAGCTGAGACGGCCTGGCTTGATTACAATTTGCAAAAAAATTCATTAGAGCCTGGGCGATTGACAATTTTTCTCTCTGCCTGTGATCTGACTCATTAGGCAGCCAAATGAAAGCCATGATAGTGGTGATGATGACAGCTATCAACCCCCCTCACTTGTTTATCTTCTTTTCTTCTGTCTCTGTTTCCACTTCAGGGCACCTCAAGCCCTGGATCTCCCTTTCTCTCTCACATACTTTGCAGCTATTTTATTTTTTTTGCGGGGGGGGGGCTTGATTAGTAAGTAACTTTGCTAAGCGTTTGGCAGCTGCTTCCTTTTATTGTAGTTACTGTCGCGTGTGTCTCTCCCCTCCCAGCCCCCTTGGCGGAAAAGGGGGTGAAGAACAGCTGTTCTTTCCTAAAAATGAAACCCTCCCAGCTCTGGAGCGATAGAACTGACCCCCATCCAAAGCGCTGGCGTCATCCCCGCATTCCTCCCAGCTAAGGACGGCTGGAAAACTTCTTAAGTGACTTGAGCTTCTATTTTCAGGGTGTTCTAAGAAGGGACACACGGTAGCCCCATCACTGCCTGCGCTTCCCTTTGTAGATTGCACTGTAGTGCTTCTGGCATCGCTTCCAAAAATACATAGAGATCAGGTGTTAGATAGAAAATTTAGGGTTTGTCTTGGGGCTGCACATTTTTCTATACCCCATACTTTCTTTTGACTTCTCCAGGGGGTGTAGTTAGCGCCTACATTTCTCTGCTTGACCTGGGTGTGTCAGTAAGTCTGTCTTTGACAACTCGATGGGGACCGCACGTGGGTTTTATATATAGAATCCCCCCCCACTCAAAATTCCATGCAGACACACACCAGCCCCCCTCCTAATGAGCACAGGTACAGGATAGCAATGACTTTTCTTCTGCACTTGATTCCCCTAAAACAACCCACATCCATGTGATACACCGCTCACAGTCATACTTTATTCCTTCAATGCCTCTGTGGCTATAAATCGTCTTCTATGAGGTGTGATTCATGTCACAGCCTCTGTATCAATAGATTTGTTTTTAAAGGACCAGTCATTCTCTGCTGGTGCCGAAATATTTGGCCTTGTCCTTTCAGTGGCCATGTTTCAAATGTAGGCTAGCTATTCATGACCCTCTCCTCTCTTTCTCTTCTAACCCGTCTAGGCCGTTTATCAGTCATTATAAATAATATAGTCCGTCGTGCAAAAGGGGGGAAAAATCGATGTTGATCAGGCTACTTACTTGGAATATTTTTAGGGCAGTTTCGAAGGGAAACCACACACAAGATGCTAAGTCCTGACAAAGCTTCATTTCCAGGCCGTTCTAATGCAATTTAAACCCCAGGATTTAAAAAAAAAAATGATGAAGTGCAACTGATATAAATTATGTCAATATTGGTATTGACCTTCTGGAACATTTGATTTACCCACTGAAGCTTAAACTACAAGTCTCAGCGCTATCTGCATAGCAAATTGCTCCTTGCAGCTCTCCGTAATTGCCCACTTTCACAGCCAGTTAGGAGTTGGCTGCTTTTTTGGTTTGTTTTTAATTTTATTTAGCAAATTCGCGCTTTTAATTCCTGTCTTTCTAGTTGTAGATCGCCTCTGTCCCTGATACCCACAGTAGATGCGTTATAGGTGAGTTATAGAGACAATGGTTTTGTTTAAATATCTGTGGGAGGAAAGGTAGTATTTTGCGTTCAATGATTGTTAATAATCAAAGTCTTTTTGTTAGCAAACAAGCTTTCGGTGAGGGGAGGAGGGAAGTGTACGATCAAATATATGTTTAATAACCAGGCGGGGGGAAACAAGTTCTGGTCTCCTAATCCCACGATCATGTGGAAAAGAAAAAATCCCCATTGCGATGGGTTTATTTTGGCCGAGTTTTTAGCGGAATATTGTCATTTTTGTCATGTAGTTACAGAGTATTGCATTGTTCACATACCAATTAGTGTGGCATCATGACAACTTGGGGGGGAGCAGGGGGATTAGCTTTTAAATATCACTAAAGACCCTCCACAGTTCTGACAACTTTGCGGGGTTGCAGTTTTTCTTCCTCCTAATCGGACAGATCGGAGGCAGCGAATAGATGCAGACTTGGCCCTGTTAATTTCCTAGAGCGTTAATCAGCTACAGCGCGGCAGGTCAGCTAACAATACACAGTCAGTCCCACTTGCTAGAGTAAACTGCCTGCATCTCTCTCATTGTTTGACACGCCACAGGACTGGAGCGGAAGTAAAATCAGAACAATTCATTTACAGACGTTTCAGTACTGGCTGGTTTTAAAGCTCCAGGTAGTTTGGTGCATGGGTGTGTGTGTGTTGGATATTTACGGAGAGGGGGCAGATCGGTCTGGTCCTTTTCAATTCAAGGTACCTAGAATCACAGGCATGGCTACCCTATTCCCTTCTGGTCAGCTCCCTCCTCGACTAGGCTCTGCAATGCCAGCCTGTTTCTAGAACATCCTTTTCAGCAGCGTTTTGTTTACAATTTATTATAGAAGAAATTCGCTTCCATAAACTCAGACATCAGCTTGGGGACAAGCTCTGCCTTCCCCCAGAGTTCAACTCTAGGTATTTTGCTAAATGTTTCCTATTGACAATAAACCTTGAAGAAGTAGAGGACCCAGACCTAAAATGATACTGTCCTAGGAGGGAAAATGCTCCCACTCTCACACAAGAAATTCTGTACAGAAGTCAGTTGGGTTTTTTTTTCTTTTTCGTTTTTGATTTTGTTTATTCACAAGACTGAGTTTCTTTTTAAATTTCATAACTTATCAGGAAAAAGCTACATTGAAATAAATTAAACACAATAGAGAGGATCGTGCTTTTCAAACATGGCTTAGTAGAAGATGCAACCAAATCGACAGCAAGCCAGGCAAAATAATAATAATAATGAAAATAATTCACCCAAATGTCTGCCACTCAGCCAACCCAAAAAAGGGAAAACAAACCTCTTAGTTTTGTTTCATTTTTACCTTTCAAAATGATAAAAAAAACAAAAACCAAAAGATGAGTAATATGCATTGCAGTTTTTTGTTGTGGTTTTCTTCTGGAATGTAAGAATTCATGTTACTGGTTATTTGGTCCCATAAGAGTCAAAACACTGCAGCTGAGATCCAGCACTTTATATACAAAGTAGGACAGTATAATAAATATTTATTATGTCTCTTCAAGGGTTTGATATTCCCGCTCCAAAACAAAAGACAGTTTTAAGCCTCTTATGAATGGATTCTTGCTTTACTCGATATGTCGAAAGGTTCAGATTAAAGTTTGTTTGTTTGTTTTTAACCCGATTTCGAAACGTGGATCAAAACTTTTGGATGGGGGAAGGGGTAGTGGAAATGTATCAGGGTCTGGCTTGTTCCAGCTGCTGGTGCTGACTTCTGATGGCAAATCTGCTGACATGGACTGGGATGGGTACCACGATCTTGGGGTTTCTGGAGGGTTCTCCTGTCTTCGAGTTGGCATTGCCGGCTTTCACCCTTTTCCACTTGGCTCTTCTGTTCTGGAACCAGATTTTGACCTGCACTTCACTGAGTTTGAGGGCATGAGCGATCTGGGATCTCTCTGTCAGAGACAGGTACTTTTTGCAATGAAATTCCTTTTCCAACTCTAGCAGCTGCTCGCTGGTAAAGGCTGTTCTCCTCCGCCTGTTTTTGCCAGTGGATGTGGTGGTGTTTGAGTTATTTGTGCTCTGGGTGTTTTCTTCTAGTGCGTTGCCAGAGTCTTCTTCTTTATGAGCGGCTTGGCTTGTGATATTGTCATCAGAGCTATAATCTAGATCGCTGTCCATCGAGAAACTTTCCTCTTTGCCTTTGGAGTCGTCTTCCGCTTTGGAATCATCTTTGGCCTGACCCCGGACAGCCCCTACTGAAAGCAAACCAAAGGCATTTCGTTACATTTTGCACGGTTAGCTCTGCAGATGTTTAGCTTCAACCAGCACATTTTCCAGCATAAATTTTAGTTCTACTGAATTAAATCCTCCTCGATTTAGGTCTCTGTATTTATATACGGGAGGAAGCTCTATTCGAGTTTGAAGAAAGCAAGCGGGCTTATAGGGAGGAAAGAGAACACCGATCTTGGCAGACACAAAGTAACATTTCGGGACATATAGCAGTTTCCTTCAGACTGAATTTCTCACTGCCCGGTTCAACACTTCTTCACTGGCCGATATTTTCTCATCATTATAGATTTGTTGGAACATCATTCCCCATAGCCTCGCACCAAACCGATTTATGAAATGTTACCTTCTGTCACAACTCAAGATTGAAGGGACAGTTCTCTGCATGTACCTACCGGTAGCCATGTATATTTCACTTGCCAATATTTTTGTAACAATGGGAGGAAAACGGAGGATGGGTCCTTTACCTCTCAAAAAAAACGGAGCAAGGGAAACTTAATTTGTTTGGGAAGTACTTAAAACTTCTCTTTCGATAGCACTGTGAACAGGGGGAAGAAAGTGTTTACAGCGAGATTAGTTCTGTTTGGAAAACATCTTTTTCCATGGGAGGATTAAATATTTCATTGATGAGACTCTTTCCTGCGTGCGATTTTTTTTTTAAAACCCGCTTAAAATCAATTGTAAGATCAAACTGGCCTCCTTCAGCACAGGCAGCGCTGTTCTAAATAGCGATTAGACCGAAGGTAGTAATTACATGTGACATAGATTTTAAGTTTTCGGTTTGATAAGGTTGCGCTTTGCAGTGTTAGATCTCATCCACCCTTGTCGAGTGCATTCCTTTGGAAATAACGGGGGGAGCTCATCACCTCCCCCAGGATTTGAGTTGGGGGGCGGAGAGGGGTTTATTTCCTAGCCAAAAAATATCTGGAGATCACCTCTCCCAATGGAATGGAATTGCTACGTGTGTGAAATTTACATGGTTATGGTATGGCTGGACACACACCAAACAAAATCTGTCTTTATCGCCTGACAATCACCCTTCCTCCCACCCTGGCTCCGCTGAAAGGGGGCGAAGGAAAGGGAGGAAGAAACTTGCTCTAAGTGCGCGCACAGAACAAGGCGTGTAGCCACTCACCCAGGGAAGCCTGCACGGCTTCTGCGGCGGCGAATGACAGCAGGGAGCTCTCCTTGCTCAGGAAGGATTTCCCCTCTTCGCTCTCCTGCTGGATCCCTTCGCCTTTGTCGAAGTTGCCCTGGAGAGCTTGGGGGGCAAACTTCCGGGCCGCCTCCTGGTGCTGCGGGGAAGCGGAGAAGGTGCTGGGCAGCGTGGCCATGAGCGTGGAGGTGAGCGCCATCCCTTGGGCCAGGCTGGAGCAGAAGCCGGTGGGCAGGCTGGGGATTTGGTGGTGGGGGTGAGAGGGCGGCAGGGCCGGCTGCAGCGAGGCTTGCGGGAGGGTCGGAGGGGGTGGGGGCGGCGGGGGCAAGACCACCGGCCGGTAGGGCATGAACATGGGGTAGCCGGTGTAGACGAAGTGGCCCGGGCTGGGCTGGGGCGGGCTGCCGATGAGGGAGTCTATGCTGAAGGCCGTGCTGCTTCCCAAGGGGCGCTGCATCATCATGAGGGAGGGCTGGAAAGCTGCACTCATATAGCTGCTGGGGACCGGAGCCGGCGGAGCAGAAAGGCAGGAGCAGGCGGCCAGTCCCGCGGCGCGCAGGCAGATCCAGGAGGCGCCTCGCAGCCCGCGCGGGCTGGGGGCGGCGGCGCTGGCTTGGGGGGTGCAGGGCAGAGCAGGCGTCAGGCCAGGGGGAGCGCCGGGTCCGCTCCGGTGCTGCTGGGGGGCATCGGGGGCATCCCCTCGCCGGCGCCTGGGGCCCCGCTGGGCGGTGAGCGAGACGCTGCTGCCGCTGCCGCTGCCGCGCGGGCCGGGTGCCTGGGTCGGAGCGCGCGGGGCTCTCTCCGGGCGCCGCCAGCACCTTTAAATTGCGCTCGCCGCTTCTCATTCACATTTTGCCAGCTTCCGAACCTTGCCCCGCCTCACGTGGGCGCCCGCCTGGCTGCCCATTGGCCGGCGGCGGGGGGAGGGGGCGGGGCGGGAGCTGGCCTTGGCCCCGCCTCCCCTCCCGAGCTGGGCTCCGGGCAGCAGCAGAAGGGGCGGGGTGGGGTCAGGGAGGCGGCGGGCGAGGGGACCGGCCGGGCTAACTTGTGAAAAGCCATTAACACTGCCCGGGGGCCACCCTGCGCCCGCCCCTTCCCGTGCAGCAGCCTCGGGGCGCTGCTCGGCGTGTGCAAACAGAAATCTCCCTTTCCCCCTCCGCAGGCTGGAGCTGGGGGTTGAGTCGGTGTGTATTTCACAGGGGCTGGGAGAACTCGCGGATGGTTGGCCCGGTGGGATTCCCTCCTCCCCCTTCTTCAGTTTGTTTCCTTTTTCGCGGTGAACAGAATTAAAAAAAAAGATCTTGGTCTTTTGAAACCTTAATACACATTTTCCGTGCACCTTCCCACCCACAATAACGGCCGTGGTAATTACGATAATAAAAGGCGAGTTTGGGGGTTTTTTGAATGTGGTCGGTCCTCAAGGAGAAGTGGGGGGCTTGAAATGGTCGCCTGATTACATCGCTGGAGCCTGCTGGAGGTTTTACGATGTTTGTCCAAATAAAAGCCCACTTTTAAAAAGATGCACCAATTAAATCATTTTGTTAAAGGACAGTAGATCCGCTTAGTTAGTAGGAAAACGAAGATTTAATGATGAGCTGTAGCCCCTACAGGCATAAAACTGTCTTTCACTGGGCTGATTTTCTGTTATTAAAAGGTTATCAAAAGTTGATTGCTCTGTCTCTCTCTTAAAACTAAGATTAAAATATAAAAGATTCCACGGGAACCTAAGCGGGGAAAATACAAATCTAACCGGTGCACATGCCAAACAGATCTACTGAACAGATCCCCACTGATGTACCAATGTTTTGCTGTTCGGTTTTAACAGCTGCAATAGGACAGAAGTGTGTGTGTATGGGGGCTGAGGGGTGGGATATCATCCTTTTGAAACATTACCCAAGACAGTGATCTCTCTAGATGGGTGCTGTTACCCCAGTGATGGGAGTCTTTTCACATGTACATTTAATTGGAAGATAAAGGCAAATCGATATTTATGAATTTATCGATCCAACTCTTTGCAAATCTGTCTGTCTTTTTCTCTCTCAGACTCCTAACTCTATGGCACGGTAGGGAATAGCTTCATCCCAGTATAACTCTTACAGCGAGGTTCCATGATGGGGGGAAATCCACTTTGCATCACACCAGACTGTCTGTAATGCTGGAGACCTCACTGTACTTAATCCCGAAGGGGGGAAAAAAAACACACCCCAGCAAATTTTAAAGACAGCTGGTAAGTGTACCGGGAGAGCCATCAGAATGCCTGTATATTTGGAGGGACTCCATTAGAGCCCAGTGTATATTTACATCAATTCGTTATGGGTGCCGAGACAGAGGGGGCATGTAGCAGGAAACGAGTACATTTCACATGAAACACTACTTCAGAATCGACTGATGTCATCTGAGTCAAAATCCAAATAGAAACTCTGAAGCCCGGAGGACGTTAAATAATCCCACTCATTGAAATACCACAGCAATTCACTCATTTACTGGCGTGTCAAAATGCTTATGACAGACCCTTAATCTTTCCGAAAGTTGTTCGGTTTATCTTTCTCTGCTACTTGTCACAGATGTGCCCATCAGTTGATTTTTAAATGGCCAGGCGAGCAAATATTTCCAATCAATCAAGAAACAAACATCTGAAATCGTACTTTCAAATATCATGGTGGGAACTTTCGATGTCTCGGGAAAATTGCCATCATTCTGTATTTAGATTTCACTCACCAGACGGTTTAAAATCCCTCGAAGTACCTCCACATTTGGAATAATTTGATGGCATATAATTTGCATCTATATAAAAAGTGCTACTGGAGATATCGACTGCAGAGGCTTGTTGTATAGGGATTCCGGCATAGACCCATCAATGGGAGGTTTTATTTACTGGGGTGCTTTTCCTAAAACGCAAAAGTCATATTTTCTCATTTAATGTTTAACTGCTTAGAAAACAACTGTACGTGTCATAAAAGTCTCCTTGAGTTTTGTGGTGATTAACAAGATCGATCCCAGACACCTTAAACTATCTGCAATGCGTTTAAAGCTTGAGGGCTGCGGATAATAAAATCCTTTACAGTTTTTAGCCTGCTCCTTGTACAGATTAACCAGTATCTATCTGTCTATCTATCATTAGCAGAGGGCCGCAGTCTATTCTTCTCATGCACTGTATGCAAGCCAGTTTGCATATATTCCTTTGCAACTTCGATCAGCAGAGGAAGAGCAAAAATCATTTCTGGAAAGCCACCGCTACTTCACAAGCCAGGCACAAGTTTAGCTCCGTGGGTAAAGCAAGCACTCTGTCCGTAAGCAAAGTTTACAGCACACTAGGTAAGGAGAACACTCCTGACACCAATTTTAGACCGGGTAGAGGCCAGGATTAGTCAGTATCACCCGCACCAGCTAAGAAGTCTCTATAGCAACGCTAGATTTTGTTTAGTTCAGCGTACCCATTTTTGCATGTAGGTGTGTAGTGCCTGGAGTTAACAACATTTAAAGGGTTGGTTGATGGCTGAACACAAGCAGGGCGAGGGAACTGTAATGTGGATTCCTGTAATTTTCGGTGGAGGAAGCGCCCACCTGGTCGTTTGCTGATGTTACTGGGATTGGAGAGGAAAGAACTGAATGAAACACAACACACAGGCAGCATGTGAATGTCAGCTTTCAACACTCTTCCTTTTGCTTGCGGTGTCGCTCTGCACTTCTTGCTTGTCTACCCGAACAGCCCCATTTGCCCGGGGAAATGGGTTGGATTCTCCGGGAATTACTCTTATTTGGGGTTCTTTACAACGCCTGGATCATTCAAGCATTATTGCAACCTTCCCCGGCAAGGCGTTGGGAAATAGCTCGGGATGGTTTTATTTAGGGGCAGGGCGATTGCATTCATAGCCAGCTAACCTAGAAGAGTCCCTCAAGTGTCCAATATGGGCTCACAAAGGGGTTCTTGTGTAAAATTCCCCATCAGACACACCAATTTGCAAGTGGCAAAGCATTAAAGCCTCATCTTTTTAAACGATTTTATTCATGCTTCTTTCTTTTTTTAATCTGAAAGCCCCAAAATAGACTCCATGCGGTTCTAAGTGAAGTCAGCCTCTGGCTTGGCTTTGAAACAGCTCCTGCAATTATGTAAAAGAGCCATTCACTAACACGGTGGAATTAAAAGCGATCTAGCCTGCTCCCTTTCACGGGCAAGCCTCTCATGTTTGGCGTTTCAAAGCCCTTCCAACACGATGTCTTGCTCGAGGACAAAAGGCAGAACACAAAAAAAGTCCCCCAACTTGTAAATTGAACGTCAAGGGAACTTTAAACAATTTAAAGCCCATAAATAATGATAAAGAGACCTGGCAAAAAGGCAAACCCATTCAATTAATAGAGTTTCCCAAGCAAAGATCAAGTGCTTTACAAAATACAATAAAAATAAAGTTTGACTTCTATTCTTCTGCCGCGGTGGAATTTAGAAATGTAGGCAGCAAAGCCCCCCCTTCTCCCCACCCCAGTCTGCTTCAAACATCACTGGGGGATGGGAAATACACGTATTTACTGGTAAACTTCTAACCAGGAAGTGTAGAGCCTGTAGTCTTGTTTTGGTTGCAAAGTTGGCTTGCGGGAATTTGAAACTTTGCATCCAGCCGGATGACTTTTCCCTTTCTTTTTCTTTGAAAGGAATTGCCTTACACGCTCCGGGTTATAACTCGGTTACTTTAAACTTGCTGTTGTGTTGAATGATCCTTTGCCATTCTCTGGCCGTGTTTTCATCGCCTCTCATTAGCATTTCTATACGTAACAAAAGAAGTCAATAACGCTAGGCTCTGTGAAAGTCACAATGTGTTTAAAAGCTGTTGTTGTCCCGTGCCGTGTTCCTTGGCTGTTGGACGCAGCCTGCCAAATCTAAACCACTATTTCTGCCTCGGTATTTCACTGATGGCTGGGGTGGGGTTGGCAACTATTGATTACGGAGTGACCACCGGGGTAATGAATAACCTTGTCTGTTTCCCACCACCCCGATTACCTTTTTTCCCCTTATAATTTTCTCCCTGCCTCTTACTGTGCTCTGCCAAGCTGTTGATTTACCACATACACACAGCACTAGCTTCATGATCAGAGGCAAGAGGACCAATGCAGTTCTCCCGAGCAGTAAATAACTAAAGTACCAGTCCCCTATTTCAATCGGCTAGATACAGCTTGTGGCGAGCTGCAAAGTTAGTGGAGGCACACTACTGAACACACACTCCGTACCATGGCTCGCAGGAAACTCTCTTGCAAACCAGAGGGCCTATGCCAGGTTTGGTCAGCTGGGAAGTGTCAGACCCGAGACCAAGAAAGGACCGAAAAGAAGGGTAGAGTGAACAGCTGGTAAATGAAAGGGCGAGCTGGTCTAGAGGAGATCAGGAGAACCCTGATTCCGAAGGAGGATGACCAGATATTCAGGGGGCTAATGCTACACTTCGGAGGTTAGGAAAAGAAATTAAAATCCAAAGAGAATTGAATTCGCAGAACCTCTCCCACATGAGAGCGGGGCTGCCCTCGGGACGGTCACATCTGGACTGCTGAAGCAGGCAGAAGAACTGGTGTTTGACGACAGTCTCTGGCAGGTAGGAAGTCTTGGAAAGCTCCCCCTGCGGGTTTCCAGTGGCCAGGTGAGTCCTTATCTCCTCGCCCTATAGATTTGTTTTTCTGCCTCCAACCTGTTAAACAAAGCTACTGATCTCCTGTGAACTTCAAACGCGCTGCTATCTCCCTCTTTAGCCCAGTAGCCTCGCTTTTTTTATCTGCTTCCACAGAGTATTGTTGGAGAGATCACAGATATGCTAATCCCTGGTACCTGTAAACAGAGGGCGGGGACAGGAGAAGGGTGAAAGGGGTGACCGAAGCACTGCATTGTGTGCTTGTGTTTGTGG